ATTGCTACAATAATGTAATCAAATTTAGGAGTAAGAGATCTTAATATCTTCTCAATGATTACTTGTTCAGAAAGAGTTTCTCCATACGATTTCATCTCATTTGTGATCAGAATCACTCTAGAAATGTAATCAGGTACCTTCTCATGTTTCTTTATGTTCACATTCTCATACTACTTACATAGAGATTGAAGCTTCACCTTATTCACTAACACATCACCACTATAGCACCGTATTAGTATATCCCACGCAGCCTTCGTCGTCGTCGAATCAACAATTTTCTAAAACACATTCGCATCCACACACGGATGGATGTAGAACAATGCTTTATGATTTTTCTACCTTGTATCTCTTTGCGCTTTTCTTTGTTCCTCTATTGCATTCGTTGCAACCGAAATGTAACCTTTGGTGAAAAGATCAAGACCGTCTTGAGCATCGAGCAACACACATTTGAATCATCCAGTGATTTCAATTATTTCTATCAAACACCATAAGCTTCATATTAAATCTATTTCTGTTATTCATCTTTATTCTTGTGCACTAAAACTAACTCATATATCAGATATCACCAATCAATCGTATTTCCCGATCTCGCAAAATCAAGAAATACAATTCTGGTATGATTGCGATTGTGAATTCAACGTGAATTCAAGCAACGAAACCAATCAAACATGCATCACTTACACTCATGTTACCCTGTGAGTAAAAAAAAAGAGATCTAGATACCAATTGTTGGTGCACAAGGTTGAAGATGAAGATGGAAGAAGAGAGAGAGATAGAGAGAGAGAGAGAGAGAGAGAGAGAGAGAGAGAGAGAGAGAGAGAGAGAGAGAGAGAGAGAGAGAGAGAGAGAGAGAGAGAGAGAGAGAGAGAAACAATTGTAACAAACTTGTTGAGAAAGAAATTCTATTAAAAATTACATTATAAAAACCTGGTTACAAACTTGTTTAAATACACAAAATAAATTTCACGTAGGCATAAACAAAAGTATGCCTAATAGTTAAGCTAACAACTAAGAGTAGCTTCTAGAAAACATCTAATTACTGCTTCTAACTGAATAGTGTCATAAGCTTTTAGCTTTTGGATAACACCCTCAAAAGCTACTACTTATGGCCATGTCAATAGCTTCTGGATATGAATTGCTTTTAACGAAAAAATCTCACTAAAATGTTGAAACACTAAAAGAACCTAGAGAGCCACCCAGAAGAATCGGCTGGAGGGATACAATGAGCACACTAATAGAACTAGAGTGCTACACAACACACCAATATATGCCTAAGCTCAAGAATGGGTTTTGCTCCCAATATTGAAGAGCAACGACTAGTCATGGAAAATGAGAGTAAATACACTTCAAAGAGAGACAAATTACAGAGGTCTCCCAATGATTAATTGTTAGTATTTTTGTGCAAAAATAATTTCATTGCACATACTTCGAATAGTCTAGACCACTGCATGACAGATCGTGGCTAAGCTTATTGACTCATTTTCCCTATACCGAACCCCTGAAACACCTCGTATACCTAAAATACCTCCTGTGGGATAGGAAACGACCTTCCCACCCACTTAAGAAATCTATGCCACACCAACGATGAAGGTGTCAGAAACACAAGAAATGGGGTTTGAATTGGGTTTCACCAAAATGTTTTGAATATTTTTCGTTGATGAAAGACAAAGTTAACTTAGAGCATAAAAATAAATGAACACAATTATTTTTATCCTAGTTCGCTGTTAACTAAGCTACTTCAGTCCATCCCGCGAGGTGATTTGCCTTCAACAAGGACTTAATCCACTATAACCAAACTGATTACAGACAATCCACAATAAGTCAGATCAACCTTATTGGCACCCCCAAGAATTCAGTCGATCCTTATTGCAAATCCACTCAAATCGCAGAAAGAGTCTTCTTGAGATCTGGCCTTCACTTGGTCTCTCAAGGAATCAACAATAGTTGAATACTTTCAGTGTATTACAGTTTGCTTATTCTTAAGAAGATTACACAGAAGTTTCAGTACAAAGAAAAACACTTAAGTGTTCTACAACAAGATACGAGCAACAACTCCTTACTTGTTTACAAAAATATACACATAAGATTTCTCTAAAGAGTTCACACAGTGCTTTGGTGTAGTTTTTCTTGAGCTTGATTTAATCTGATATATTTGTGTTATGTTTATTCTTCCCTTTTCTTCAGCTTCCAAGTCTTTCTTTTATAGCATGCAAAAGAGACTCGTTGAAAGGGTAGAAAGGTAATCGAAAAGTAAAGTTGTTTGTTCTCAACGGTCATGATGAAAGTAGTCACAGTATAGTACGAAAGGATTGTCCTTACGCCACCCTAGAGGATAGAGGTAACAAAACACTTTTTGTACCTTTTGTACACCATCACACGTTAACCATTTAGAACTTCTTCTTATCTTCAGAGGCTTCAGATAATTTGAATGTTTGAAGCTTGGTGTAGAAGAATCACTCTTAAGTCTTAGAACCTAAGTCTTGGAGTCTTTAGAATCTTGTCCTATCATAACTTTGTCTTCACAGTCTTCAGCACTTGGTTGTAAGAACTTGCTTTTCTTCAGATCATCAGAACTTGTTCAGCAGAACCTTGTCTTCATAATCTTCAGAACTTATAACACACTGGAGCAAAGCTTTAGAAGGCCTCCAAAGCTTAACCATAAAGTCACGATCAGAACTTCTTGTACTAATGTTCCTAAGACCCCTTGCATAAGATGAATTCCATAATTTTGACTTCAATGTTAACACGTAACCACCTGTTTTCATCCAATAGTGTTGATGTTCAAAACATGATGACGTCACACGCCTTGATACCAGATCTAGAAGATTACAACAGCAACTACATACTAGAACGAAACCATTAGAGTATACAATTTTTCTTAATGATATCATGTAAAGTTATCATCAAAATATTAAGGCCAGATGTAGAAACACTTTTTGTTCTTACAAACGAATCATTGTCTCCCTGAACGAACAGGTGTCCACATACTCAACCTGCCCCCTGACACATAACACAATCAACCCCACTACCTACTTGGATAATCACGCCTACTCATATTGGGCATATCGATCGCATTGAACGAATAAGTGGTCTACATACTCAAACTTCCCCTGAAGTCCAAACCAAAATGTCCTTCTTATCCTGCTTCACCAACCCCTAAATGGCACTAAGTAGAATGTATAACTAAAGTTCCTCCAAATCATACAAATTGTGCCTTCACATAAAATCATAAAGCCAAGTACCATTCTCCCAACAACCCATATTTCCAACCTCAAGTGAGTTATGCTCAGAATGAGAAATAGTCTCTGAAGAGACACATAAAGATGATTTTTCACACCATTCCCAACTTTCATACGGGATAGACGAAGCAAACCAGGGTATCGGCTCCCCAAGCTTGGAACCAAGAAGAGAAACATCCCTCCACTAGGTAGATTCCCTCCTAAGATTATGTATTCTTCCCCCTTGTGGGGAACTGGTGATTAAGGGGCCGTAACTTTAAGAGACGATATTCTTCCATAAGGTAGACTTGTCCTTTAAGAGACGCTAGCCCCACTTGATAAGAAGGTCCTAATTAATCTACACGAAATCCTTAACTCCTAACCCTCTTAATTTCTTCGGTTGACATACATCTTCCCACTTAAACCAAAGAACCTTAAAACCTTTGTTGGATCCTCCCCAAAGAAAATGCCTTTATAACCCAACCAACTTCTTCCAAATAGACATCAGCATCTTCATAAAGGACATGAAGAAATTTAGATATCATATTTAGATATCATTCAGAACCAAATTCAATAGAACCAATCTACCTCAAGGAACACAAACATATTCTTCTAAGAGGAGAGTCTCTCAAAGACCAGCTTAACCAATGACTCCCAAGTGCTCTCTAGTCTCAGACTAGCATCGGTCGGAAGCCTAAGATACTTAAAAGGGAGATGACCAATTTTACAATGCAAAAAAGACTTTGCGACCTCCATGATAGACCCACATAAATTCACACCAAAAAATACAACTCTTAGAGAAATTCACCTTAAGCCCTGACGTCAACTTAAAACTCTTAAGAATCACCTTGATATTCCACAGATTATTCATAGTTTCCTCCTCAAAAGAACTGTGTCATCTGCATACTAGAGATGAAAAACTTCTAACCATGAGGAACCAACTTGGACACCAGAAAACAGACCTAAAGAAACCTCCCTCTTAAAAGAGGCACTAAGACCCTCCACCACAAGGAGAAACAACAAGGGTGCTAAAGGATCCCTTTGCTTAAGCCCTATGTGAATATTGATCTCATCTATCGAACAACCATTCACAAGAATAAACAAATTCTCAGAAAAACACAAGCCCTCATTCAAGTCCCTAACTTACCATCAAAATAAAATCTCCTCGACACATAATCCAGAGACAACCAACTAACAACTAACAAAATCACAAGCATTTTCAAAATCCACTTTAAAAAATAAACATGCCCTCTTAGAAACCTAGCTAGATGAATCACTTCATTAAGGGTTACCACCTCATCCACCATTTATCTACCTTCAATAAAAGCGGATTGCTCTAGGAACCTTTGACAACCTAGCAACCAACACTTTAGTAATAAACTTATACAGACATCCCAAAAGAGAAATAGAACGAAACTCCCTCATCTCTAGAGGTGACTCCACCTTTGGGTCGAGGGCAACAAAGAAGGACGTGAGACTCTTAGAAAAGACCTTATTATCAAATAACTGGTTAAACATAACATACACATCTCCTCTGATGAGCTCTTAGAACTTCTTAGAAAACTCTAAAATTAAAATCGCCTGGTCCAGGGCTCTTATTCTCATCCATCCTTGCCACCACCCCATCCACTTCTAGAGGATCAAATCTAAGAGAGAGAGAGGGAGCCTGCTTCCTTGAAATACCTAATATCCTCCCCAAACCTCATGTCCTTTCTCTAACCAACCATTCTCCACCTTAAGAGCAAATATGTTGTTCCTCTGACTCCTCTACTTAACACATGAATGAAAATATTTGGTGTTAACACCCCCTTCTCTAAACCAGGCTATCCTCGAGCATTGGTAGAGTAACAAATCACAACATCTAAAAAGCTCCCTTAAAAATATGGGATTTTTATTTTAACCCTAAAAAATAATTTATTTTACAAAAACTTCTAAAATAATAAAAATATTGTAATATACTCGTGTTGTAAAACATTGAATAGAAATTGAATTCTTAAACTTTTTTGGCGAGTTTAGAGGAGAAATAAAGAGATATTTTTAAGTGAGAAGTAGAAAAAATATATTATATATTTTTTAATTTATAAAGAAAAATGTCTTTTAAAAAATAATAAATATTACATTTTTAATTTTAAAATATTATAAATAAATAGATTGAATTAAAAAAAGCTATGTTAAGTTCTTCAAATTCAAAGCATATTATTACAACACTCTTAGAATTAAAAACATATCAACAAAAGTTATTTATTTTATTTTTCTTTACTCTTTTTCAAATTCTCAAAAAGAGGCTTATAGATAGGTACTCTATAAGTTTAACACTCCTTTTCATTTTTATTATAAGTTAAATATATTAAATAATTAATGTATCTAGACTATATATAAATAGAATGCATATATTATTTTATGTATTAGTGTATTTAAAAAGTATGATGCTAGAAGCTTGGAAATGATATCAGGTACGAGAGCAATGGATTCTTCGACCAAACAACTCTACCTGGAAACAGTATGATTTGTGGAACTCAAACAGCAAATGGAGCAGCTGCTTTTACTGCAGCTGCACAACAACTCCTACTGGATCTACAAACAGCTACACCCAAAATTCCTGGTTTCTTTGCAGCTACAAAGACACCAGTTTCTGGAACTGGAAATGCAATATATGCCATTGCACAATGTGCTGAATCAGTCACTCAAAATGGTTGTTTAGATTGCTTGACAGTTGGATTCAACAACATACAGAGCTGTTTTCCTAACACAGATGGTACAGCATTTGATGCTGGTTGTTTTATGAGATACTCAGAAACATCTTTCTTTGCTGATAACCAGACCATTGATATTACACCCTTCCTTAAACAAGGTAAAGTTAGAATACTTTCTTTACTTGTAATGTCATAGTCTCTGACCGTCTGTAGCACAACACCTCTGAAAAAGACGTGTCTATGACGTGTCTTGTGTCCGTGTATGTGCTTGTGCTTCATAGCTAAAGGTAAAAGCTAACGAGGTTAAGTGTGTTTTCGTATCTTAAGGTTCAAGTAACAAGGGAGCCATTATTGGTGGTGTTGTTGGAGGTGTAGTAGCCCTTATTGTGATCCTCATTGCACTATTTGTTTGGCTTAGGCTCTACAAGAAACCCAAGAGACATCATAGAGGTGAGATATTTTGGAAAATCTTGGAATCCGTGATCGCGGTTTCTTGCAAAAGAAGATACAATATTCATGATTATGTTTTCCTTATCAGGTGACATATTAGGAGCAACTGAGTTGAAAGGTCCACTTACTTACCGATATAACGATTTGAAGTCTGCAACAAAAAATTTTAACGACGAAAATAAACTAGGAGAAGGAGGTTTTGGAGATGTATACAAGGTATATACTTAGTTGTTTTTCAACTTTTTTTGTTTATTTTCTATTACATGTTCACAAACATGCATGATTTTTTGTCGATTTTGGACAGGGAACTCTGAAAAATGGTAAAGTAGTTGCTGTCAAGAAATTGATTTTAGGTCATTCTGGGAAGATGGATGAACAATTTGAAAGTGAAGTGAAGCTCATAAGTAATGTTCATCACAGGAATTTAGTTCGACTTCTCGGATGCTGCAGTAAAGGCCAAGAGAGAATCCTTGTTTATGAATACATGGCAAACAAGAGCCTTGACAGATTCTTATTCGGTAAAAACTCATGTCAATCTTCCTATTGAATTTTCGGAGAAATTTTTTAGGAATTAATATAACAAAGTGAGTTGCAGGTGAAAAGAAGGGTTCCCTTAATTGGATTCAAAGGTATGATATAATTTTAGGCACAGCAAGAGGTTTGGCCTATCTGCATGAAGATTTTCATGTTTGCATCATACATAGAGATATAAAGACTAACAACATCCTCTTGGATGATGATCTTCAACCTAAAATTGCTGATTTCGGGTTGGCGAGACTTTTACCAGAAGATCAATCTCATCTCAGCACGAGATTTGCAGGAACATTGTAAGCCCAAAACCGTTAAATCTAATAAATGAGACACATTTTAATGTTACATTCGCATTCTATGTATATATATATATACTATTTTATTAACTATGGTTTACAAATTGTGAACATGTTAGGGGATACACTGCACCAGAATATGCAATCCATGGTCAGTTATCAGTGAAGGCTGATATCTACAGTTTTGGTGTTGTAGTCCTAGAAATCATAAGTGGCCAAAAGAGTAGCGAGTTAAGAGATGATGCTGATGGGGAATTCCTTCTTCAAAAGGTAAGAAATGTCACAAAATTTCGTAAGAATCTTAGCGACTATTTGCTTATAATCAAATCTCATTTTCATTTTCACAGGCTTGGAAACTATATGAGAAAGAAAGACACTTGGAGTTAGTTGACAAGACATTGAACACTAGTGACTATGATGCACAAGAGGTGAAAAAAGTTATAGAGATTGCATTACTTTGCACTCAAGCAACAGCTGCTACAAGACCAACTATGTCTGAAGTACTAGTTCTACTCAAAAGCAAGAGTTTTGTGGAGCATATGAAACCAACCATGCCTGTGTTTGTTAACACTAACTTAAGACCTCGGACAGATACCTCTACCTCAACTGCTTCTTCAACATCTAATGCTACTGTTTCCACTTCTATATTATCAGCTAGGTGAATATGTTAAGTTTGAGGTTTGAAGTTGAAGTGAAGCCAAATAAAGAAAAAAAGTAGAGGATTATTGTCTGTGATAGCCGATCCAGAAGCTATCGATTCTATTCTGAAATAGGATGTCCTTTAAGATAAATGAACAGGTCACTTGGCTCAGACTTCCTGTAAGTAGATTCATAATCTCGTTTTCAAATATCAAGAAAGTGTAGAAAAAAATCCATGCCTCATCAACGTTTTTTTAATCAATAAACAATATTAAATATAATATTTTTTAGCAACTAATTAAATAATTGCATGGACATGTTACATGAAGCAATGTCATATACTCTCATTGTTCTAAATTATAAGACGTTTTGGACATTTTACACATATTAAGAAAAGTAACTATTATTGTATGGAAAAGAGAAATTATGTATGATTTTACATTATTGTTCTTCATTAATTATAGAGGAAATAGAAATTAAGATAATTGAAAGAAGAAAGATAAATAAATAATACAGGTATATTGGAAAAACATCATTAATATTGCATTAGAATTATAAAGTGACTTATAATTTGAGATAATTTTTTTCTCTAAAACGTCTTATAATTTAAAACGGAGGAAGTATCATATTAGACGATTCATCCTGAACTTCGTCATGGCATTAATCTCAATATAAGAAAGTCAAGGAGAGTTTATTCTAAGAATGATAATTCTAATGCAAATCTTATGTTTGTCTTGAAGTTTAAAAAACTTTTATTGAAAAGATGTCGAAATATCGAATTTTTATGCGAAGAAATTTAAAAAGATGGTGTGATACCAACTCAAAAGTTTTAGTAAGCCTTCTAGGAGTCAGATTACCATATTCTCGTTACAGTGAGCTTTCAAATGAACCCATATTTCAGTTAGGACTTTTAAGGATTGTAACGTGGTCTGGTTCACGGTTTTTAGAAAAAAAGGATTTAAGGCTCAAAATATTTGGTGCCCACTCATTCTCCATGATGTTCTCCATTCCTACGTTCAGTTAACTCGATACGAGCACTCATCTCTCAAGAGAAGTTTGGAATGGTTGGGGAGTCAAACGAGATTTTTTGGACATGCAGCAACTCACCTCTTTCTTTCTTGGTGTTCGACCATACAACTTTGTTCTTTTCTGAGGATTTTTATTTAGTAATCCCTTTTCGCTTTCCCTAAATTTTGTCTGGACAAATTCTTTTTAAATTTGACTCTGAAGTCCAGCGGAATGCCCTGACTTTTACCTAAGCGACTTATTTTACAAGTTTTGACTTAGTGGGGATTTTTGTCTCTTTCTTTTCTATTTTTAACCATTCTTTTTTGAACACGTCGTGTGACTTCGAGTCATTTTTGACTTGTTGAAAGTGATTGTTACTGCCAGAGTCTTTGGTAGATGAGGGATAATCATTGTTGTATCGTTATTTGTTGACCTCCTAACGTGCGAGATATAACCATTGTGGTATCATCCCTTTTTGATGCACACTGCTAATAGATAAGGTTTGACCATTGCAATTTTGACTTTCCTCGGTCTTTTGATGGATAACAATTGTTGTACCCTTAGATGCACACTCTTGTGAGTTCTAAACGCTCAATCGGATTAACTGAAATTTACCCTGTCCCGGGTTAAATGTGAGGGTTTTCTATGATAAGAAAAGAAACTCATACTTCAAGGCTCAAAGGGGTTGACGAGGATTTATCTCTCATATATCTACGGTGTTGTACCCCAAAATTTGCCCTCCCATATTCTTTAAGAAATTGCCAAGTCAAGCTTCAAAATTCCCCAAGGGGTTGCACAGTGCAAAGGTCTCCTATACAGTCAAGATTAGGGTTGGTGTTTTGGTCAAGAAAATGAAGGTTCCAAAGGTCCAATCAAGTCTCATATGCCTACAAACATGATCAAGCATCCTCATACCAAGTTTCAAGACATTCAACACTAAATTGCACAGTCAAAACCCTAATTGCACTACAGTCAACTGTAGGGGCAAAATGGTCATTTGACAGTCAAAAGTTCAAATTTTTGGTCAACATATCATTTTGAAGCCACAAACATCATTTGATCAATGCTTGATCATGATTCTCAAAGTTTGGCTCAAAAATCATCAAAATGCAAAAGTTTCCTTATTTGGACAGCTGAAAAAGTCAACTGAAATTGACCAAGGCATAACTTTCACATGGATTATCAGAAAAATTCCATCCAAAGCTCATTTTGAAGAGAAAGACATTTCCTACAACTCATCTTCATACTTCAAGTCCAAGAAATGCTCTCACAAAAAGTTATCAATTTCAACATTATAGGTCATTTTCAAAAGTCAACAAAAAGGGACTTTAAGTCAAAGGCCATAACTTGAGATTGGTAAATCAAAATGACATGGGACCAAAGACATTGGTTAGAGGACTCAAAGACCTTTCCAAAATGTCCAAGAACATGAGCAAAGCTTAAAAATTGAGCAAGTTATGCCTTGTGAAAGTTGGGAAATTTTTGGATATTTTGAAAAGTCAACATTGATTCAAATGACCTAAAATTGCTAATGGGCCCATTTTTCTTCCATAATTCATCATCCATGACATGTGCACGACCACTTGGCCCAAAGGGAAGTATTTCTTCATCTTTTATTTATTTATTTGAATTTTTATTTATATTAATTCATTTAAATCAATTAAATATATGAAAAATACTTAATTTAACCTAACAAATCTTTTTGCACATGTAATCTACTCAATAATTCGTGCACATTCGAATATGGGAAGATTTGGTTTGATTGGATCATAATTGGTACAAAATTGTATGGAAAAGATTGAAAAAACAAAGCTTGAAAATCAAATCTTCAAAACCATGATTGCAAGAGATTTTGAGCAAGTTTCTTGACCTAATCCATTCAGTACATAAGCCTAAAGGAAAACCTAATGCAAATACACACTGAGCTGCGCAGAAGAGCATAAATCAAACTTGGAATTTTTGTCTAAAAACTGAAATCTGAAAACACCCTTACAAGGCGATTCAAGGCAGAATTCTTGTTTCAATAGCTTCCTCAAGCATCACTTGACATATTCCAATCACTAACATCCATCAAGACTCAAGGAATTGGTAACACGAGTGCAAACTGTACCAAGAAAAATTCATAATCGTGCATCATGATTTACGCATCCTTTGTAATTTTTAATGCTTGATTCATGTTCATTATGAGATTCTGAAACTAACCATACAAATTAATTGCGTTTTTGTGCTATGTACATGATTTTACCATTGATGCAGGCTAGGGTTTCTTGGACTCCCAATTAGGGGTTTCCTAATACTGTAAAATTCGACCACCACAAGGCCATGGATGGATTCAGGGAGTTTGGACGATTACAAGCCCACCCTCGCGCTCAATTTATGAGTGTCTGAGGGCTAATCGCTATTTTCCCTAAAGATGCCTAAGAGAACGCATGAAAAACCGTGGCCAATGTGTTCTTGTTTCAGAAAAAAATAAAACATGTGAAGAAGATGAATTCGTGGCCAGCTGTGATTGGTCTTTTTAAATCAGCGCGCGTTTTTCTATGTTTTTCATGCCACTAACCAATTTTTATTTTTATTACTTATTCGTTATTATATATACAAAGTGTGCATTTGGATCAGATGGCAAGCGTGAGGGTTGGAAAAGCACATGACCTGGGTTCGAGCCCCAGGTCTTCACACTCTCAATATTATTTTCCACTTCATATTCACATGCAGCGCCAACGTTGAATACCATGGTACACGTCTAAATCCAGCATGCCACGCGTTCAGCTTCAGGAATTCAAAGGCGTAGATTGGAGGAACACCATACACGTGAGTCAATGTGCCAGCACGCTAATTGGAAAAGTCAAATGGACCCAGATTAATGGGCCTGAACCATCAAGAAAATACCTCCCATTTGGGGTCTGAACCCCCTAGGTTTGCCAATTTATTTTCTTTCTCCTTTATTTTTTATTTATACTTTCTTTTAGATTATTGCTTTATTAATAAAATCAATTATTTTCATAAATATAAAAAATACACAAAAAATCAGAAAAGATTAAAAATACAATAAATAATTTTAGTATTTTCTTAAATAAATTTGCATGTAATTGAATGTAGTTTTAAATTAGGTTTGCAACTTTAATTCTTTTAATAAAAAATATAAAAAACATAGAATTAGGTTTAATTAGTGTTTTTATTCCTTTTTAATCTTTCTTTTTTATAATAATATTATTTATTTTATTTATTTTTATAATTAAATTTGTATATAAAAATTAGGTTTGATTTAGGTTAAATTCTAACGTTTTCTTAATAAATTAAAATAAAATAGAATTAGGGTTAGCGTTTAATTTCAATTAACTTTTTCTATTAAATCTTAAAATTCTAAAAATACCAAAAACAAGTTCTTTCTTTTTTTCATTAATTAACTTCATCATTAATTTAATTTTTTGCAAAAGGGTCCAACGCCCTCGTTTCGATTTAATTTCGCGTATTTATTTATTTTATAAATATTATGTATCTCTCCCGAAGCCTTGTAAATAATTGCTCGCATTTTTAATTCTTTTACTTTCTTTATTTTTTCTGTCAAATCGGGTCCTGGTTAATTTTGGCGATGTGGACTCGCGCCTTTTGTAATAGCTTAGAATTTACTTTCCCGCAAATATTTTAACTGTTAAATCAAAGCATGAAAGACTGTATGGACAAAATAAAATCAAGCGTAGAACACCAATGACATGAACAAGACAAAAATAAATGAACATGACACACATCGCACACACCACCCCTAGGGTACGCCTCACTGCTGCCTTGCCTCGAAAGGTGATCGTCGAGTAGAGGATGTCTTAGTAAGTCCTCATGATCCGGGAACCTGGCATGAGGGTAGCTTCTAAGGTATCTTCCTATTGCTCTGGTGATCACCATGTCCCGAACCCTCGAATTGACCCGAACACCTCCAACGGTGGTGCTACCTACCTCTCAATGGTGGGATGGCACTACTTTAAAGGACATCTACACAGACGAATTCCTTAGGGTAGGT